AATAAACGGAATTTCACTTTTTGTCATCTTTTTCTATTTTTCTTCATCTCAAATATAACTTTTTTTTTTGCTATTTCTCATAGAGCTACTTTAAACTTTTTAATTAAAACTTATTATTAAAAGAAAAGAGAAAAAAAATTCACTTTTTTTTTTGAAATATTCATGAATTTTTATCGACTGTAGGAAATTATTCGCGAGAGAATTTTTCAACAAATAAAAAGAATTCCAATTGTTTTCAGATCAAAAAAGAAATTGGTTGAAAATTTTAATTTAATTAATGAGAAAGAAAATTTCATTTTTAAAAATCATTTTCAATGTCTTTATTAATTTTCATGGAAACTTTTTTCTTTAATTTTCTTTCCATTCATTTCACATTGATTTTTTTTTCTTTTCAACCAAACTTTTGATTTCAAATAATTATCTTTTTAATAATTGAATCTATAAATAAAAATCTTTTACGATACCATAAAAATTATATACTTTATAAAAGAAGTGTAGGTACTATAAACTTTTTAGTATCATTAAAAAAAAAAAAAAAGAAAAAATGCAGAGACTATTTAAAAGTGGAATAAAATCGATAAATGTCACAGTTCAGTTGTTTTAAAAAGAAGAAAAAAAAACTTCGTTACTTGCACAGCTTGAACTGTGAAGAATACACGATGTAATTAAAAATCGAACTAACGATGACAGAAGAGACTGACTATCGTTTTCTCTTTTTTTTCCTCTCTTTCTCACTCTGTGTTTGATTCAAAAACCTCCATAACATCTGTTCATGAATATTTAATTTACCTCAAATTACCACTTGAATGCAGAGGTATAATATTAGCTTTGGAAGAGAAAGAAATCGAATCAAACGCTGAGGATATTAGAATATTGGCCAAGAGCATTTGTATTCGTCAAATTAAGTTTCCAGTTCAAAATGAAATTGATTTAATCATTTTCCCCTCCGTTTTCAATATCTGTTTTACTGTATGATTTTCAATTGAAATTTAATATTATGTTACATTCTTTCATGTCATATATTCAAGCATATGAAAATATGATTTCAACTGATGTGGAAAATTCAAAGTGAAAAGGTATGTATACAATTTTTTTTTTTTTTTTGAAAAATCAAAAGATATTCATTGCCGACAAAAATTAAATTCATTCAATTTTTTGGTATTTTGTATTTTTTATTTTATTTGCTATTTATTTCCTTTTTACAAATTTGTTAATTATTATTTTATTAATTCTCGAAAATTACTTGAAAATTAATTAAAGTAAAATTTTTCCAGAAGGAATTTTTATTCAAAAGAAAAAAAGATTTGAAAAAAATTATTTCTCTAAGAGAAACATTTTTTTTACTTAATTTTACATGTAAATAAATTTATTCATTTGCCCAAAAAACGATTTTTCCTAATTTATTTATAAAAATTTTTTTGCAATGAATTAATGAGTAAATAACGAATTTTCAAATTGTAATGAAAATGAAAATTTTCTTTTTGGTTTAAATTTAAGTTTTGAGGGAACGAAATGGACTTTTTCCCCCACCACTGTTGTTCCATTTTGATCAATAAAACATAAATTATTGTTGCTTCTACAGTTATTAAACTCAGTATTGACTATAGTGACTCCCAGTGCATTTGAATCACAGTAACAAAGTTACACTGAATCAAAATCTAAAAGCAATAAATGCAAATGCTCAATAAAGCAAAACTAGATTTCGCAATAAATTTCCAGTTCATAAATGAAAAAACTTTTTTAAATTTCAATTTTAGGCAGAAAATTCCGCACCATTAGAAATTATCACCAAAATTGTTTTATCTGATGAAAAAAAAATTTTATTCCTCTCCCCATCTATTGTCAAAAAGAGAAAATTAGTAAAAAAAAAAAGTTAATTGAAAGTAAACTGAAAATAAAAAATAAATTATTAAAAATAAACAATAAAATTAAAAATTAAAAATTAAATTTGAAATAAAAAATATTAGAAAATTAAAATAAAAATTATATTCTCTTTCTTTTAAGTAAAAATTTCTACATTTTCTCCTCCTCCTTTTTTTTTTGAAATGACATTTTTCTCCCTTTTCGAAATTTAAAAATTGTAATTCTGTGAAATGTCGAAAGTATAAAAAAAAAATCACTTGCCGTGAATTGAAATAATTTAAAAACCTGAGAGACCATTTTTCCATTAACATGAGTCATGTATGTTCAGTTGAAAAAAAAAGAAATGAAGTCGTTTCTAAATGGACATTGAACAAAAGCTTCAAAAAATAAACTAATATTTTTACAACGTTTCTCATATCACAATTTTAATATTTAAAAAAAATAAACATTTTTTTTTTGTAAAACTGCAAAAATCCTTCTCTTTGTATAATATATTTTGAAAAGATTTTTTTAATAATTTCTGATATGTTGGAGCGTTAAGAGAAAAATTTAGATTAAAATTTATATTCTGTAGGTATTGTTCTACAAATAAACGCATAAAATATAATCTCTCACTCTCTCTCTCTCTCTCTTTCTAAATTTAAATTAAATAACTCATCCATAAATTGTTATTATTATTATTTTAAAAAAAATTACGTTTTTCGAATTTTTACAATATTTTCATTGTGACTAATTTATTTTTCCCCTTAAAGTAAAAAACTAAAAAATATATACAAAACTAGTAATTTAATTTTTACTCATTAATAAAAATTAATATGGTAATATTAATTTTAATTTCAATCAGTAAAAAGCTTTGGATTAGTTTTTATAAGATTTGGGAGAAATTTCTCGTTAAAAATTAAACATATATCTAAATATAGAAAATCCTCTTTAGAAATTAGTTATTAATTCAGAAAATCCTCTTTATAACTTATATGCAAATGTAATATTTAATAGAAAATTTATAAATTTAACTTTCAACTATTCTGATAATACAGAATAATAATGCAAACTGAAGAGATTTTCTTCGAGAAATTGATTATTTTTTCTACATTATTAACAAATTATAAAAAATTTATTCTGTATTCCATTATATCTCGTCATTTTTTTTTTGTTTTGTTTTTTCCTCTGATACAGAAGATTTTTATAGGTATTTACAAAATTAGAAAAATTGGAAAAAAATGACAGATAAAATTTAGAAATATTTAATATTTTTGTTCTATTTTAGAACTGAAGAATAAATTATTTGAAATGTTATTAAACTTATTTTTTATTCACAAGAAAGAAAATGAATAGAAATAAAAATTTAGGTTTTTTTTAAATCAATAATTCATTTTTTTATTGCCACAACAACAATTGGGTAATAAATTCAAAACTTTTTACAAATATTTTACAAATATTTCTTTAGGATATTTTCTTTAGTAACGCCCAATTAATTAAATATACTGATAGAAGTGTTTCATTTTCAAGTTGAAAATTAAAAATTAGAATTAAAATTTTCATTTTACTCTAAACATTCCGAAGATAATATTAAATACTTAGTTTTGAATATTCAATTATAAATATAATTCAATTTAATTTGTTTCTTAATATTCAATTAGAAGTTTGTTGCTATGTATATTCCAAATCTAAATATTCATTTGTAAATATTTGATTAGAAATATTCCATTTTAAATTATTTATTGATAGTTAATATTTAATAGACAATATTCAATTGCTAATAATTAATAATAAATATTCCCATGCTAATATTTAATTTATAAATATTTAACTATAAATATTCAATTATAAATTTTTAATTACAAGTATTCAATTGTATATATTTCTTTTTGAATATTCAATTTTATGTTTAATTGTAAACAATAAACTGTTAATATTTAATTGTAAAAATTCAATTCTAAACATTCAATTATAAATATATAATTTAAAGTATCTGTAATTATACAGATTTCTTATTGAATATTTACTTATAATTATTAATTTGAAAATTTTCAATTATTAATAATTAAATATTCAATTGTTAATATTCAATGGGTAAACATTTAATTCTAAACATTCAATTCTGAATATTTAATTGTAAGAATTGAATTCTAAATATTCAATTATAAATATTTATTTCCAAGTATTCAATTATACACATTCCTTTTTGAATATTTAATTATAAATATTCATTAGTGAATATTGAATTCTAAATACTTATTAGTAAAATATTCAATTGTAAGCATTCATTATTGAATATTCAATTGTAAATATTTATTAGTATATATTCAATTGTAAGTATTCATTATTGAATATTCAATTGTAAATATTCATTAGTGAATATTCAATTGTAAATGTTTAATTGTAAATATTCAATTGTGACTATTTAATTCTGAACATTCAATTGTGAATATTTAATTGTAAGAATTGAATTCTAAATATTCAATTATAAATGTTTACTTTTAAATTTTCAATTATACACACTCGTTTTTGAATATTGAATTATAAATATTCAATTGTAAAAATTCAAATTTTAAATATTCAATTGTAAACATTCAACTGTGAATATTTAATTGTAAAAATTGAATTCTCAATAATCAATTATAAATATTTAATTGCAAATATTCATTAGTGAATATTCAATTGTAAAAATTCAAATTTTAAATATTTAATTGTAAACATTCAAGTATGAATATTTAATATAAGAATTGAATTCTAAATATTCAATTATAAATATTTACTTTTAAATATTCAATTATAAATATTTACTTTTAAATATTTAATTATACATATTCCTTTTTGAATATTTAATTATAAATATATTCAATTGGAAATATTTAATTGTGAATATTTATATGTAAACACTCAATTGTATATTTTGAAATTATAAGTATTGAATTGTTTGTATACTTAACTACAAATATTGAATTATAAATACAGTCGACTCTCGATAAATTTAATCTCAAGTGTCTTAGGAAAAATTAAAATTATCCATAGATTTATTTATCGAATGTTTTAATTGTCAAAAATTATTTAAGAAACCAGAAATCAAGTTCAATTTAAAGAAAAAATACAATTTAAAAATACAAATCAAAACTTTAATTATCAAGAGTTGGCTGTATTAAATTGTAAATATTCATTACGTAAGTAAAGTTTGCAAGTGGAATATTGAGTATTTAACGAATATTCTCAATCATAAATTAATATTCGTTAAATATACTCTAGAAATAGTCTCTAAAGAATTATATTAATTTCCTCAGTATAAAAGATTACTTTAAAAATTTTTAAATTACTTTTAAAAATTTTTCCATTATTTTTAAATTACTTTCAAATTACTTCGGAAATATGAATGAAACAAAACTGCTTCTTTTTTAATTGAAAACACTGTCCAAATTATACCAATTTAGTCAAAATATTTTATTCATACAAATTATTCGAAAAATATTACCTTCACTTGAAAAATCTCTTCAATTTGCAGCAATTAACGATTATCACCGACCACCGCAAATGAAAAGCATTTGAAATAAATTGACAATAATTAACGATTTATTAATCAAAAAAAAAAGAGAGAATTTTACAATTCCCACAATAGTACCTCTCATTTATTTATTATTTGTTTTCCATATTTAACAAAAAGAAGAAAAAATGAAGATAATTTCGTCTATATAATAGAATTGTTTCCTGAATAACTTGAATTGTTCTAATCTTTTGCTAAATACCTTAAGAGGCTCGTCCAATTAACTGAAGCTTTCGGGGGATTGCACAATTCTAGCATATAGGGAGGAGAGAGCTTTGATACGCTGACGTTTACCTCATAATTAAAGTGAGTTTAGGAGAGGAGAGCCTATCGAATAGATATAGCATGAAGTGCGATTTTGAGTGCGGTCAATAAGGTCATCAGGGCGGAGTACGCTATTACCGATGGAGATGAGGCGAGGCTATGTTGCATTGCTGCTGGATTATCACCGTTGAAAATGTGAACGAAAACTCGAGCTGGCTGGGCATTGCTGGCAACGCAGGTGTAATTTCCGGAATGACGGCCGGATGCCCGCGGCACTTCCAACCAACTCTCGCGGGCCAAAAGGTCCGTACTCACATTAACACCTTGCTCAACATCGTAATTTATCATTCGAATATTGTGGTACCAAAAAAGATAGGACGGCGTTTCCGTCGATTTCTTCACTAAACAATGAAGTTGAAGTGTACTTCCAGGTCGTACAAATTTCTCCGCTGGTCCTATTATTTCGGCGCGCGCCTCTGCAAAAAAAAACACAAAACATTTTTTTTTTACTACATTTAATTTTTCGTAATTATTATTTTATAAGATTCTTTTTAAAAAAAATATTTGTTTGTTTTTCAATTTATTTTCTAAACAAATGTATTTTTCTTTGATTTCTATTAAAAATTTTACTTTTTATTAAAAACCAATAGCAAAAGTCGAAAAGTTTATAAATCGTCGTTTGCTTAAAATACTGTTTTAACCACTTATTACAGTTAATTTAAAATTATTTTATTTAAAATAACAAATTTCTTATTCAAAATTCTTTCATAAAAGGATAGAATATTCAATTCTATTAGTAAATTTTTCTAATAAATTAGTAAAAATTCCTATTTATTAGTAAAATTAGTAACTTACTGTTTATTAATAAAATTAATAGAAATTACTATTTATTAGTAAATTTAGTAGAAATTATACTATTTATTAGTAAAATTAGTAGAAATTACTATTTGTAAATTGTAAATATTCAATTACAAATATTTAATTGTGAAAATTCAATTATAAACTTTCAATTATTCATATTCATTTGATAGTATTCAATTGTAAGTTTCCAATTATAGGTATTCAATTATTCTTATTCAATTAGGAATAGTCAATTGTAAATATTTAATTACAAATATTCAATTTTGAATATTCAAATTCAGGGCATTCAATAAAAAATATTCAATTACAAATATTTTATTATTTATATTAAATTATAAATATTAAATTATAAATATTAAATTGTAAATATACAATTATTAATATTTAATTATAAACATTCATTTCTGAATATTTATTTGTAAATATTCAATTACAAAAATTAAATTGTTAATATTCAATTCTGGATCTTCAGTTATAATTATTCAGTTATGGGCAATAAATTATAAATATTCAATTACGAATATTTTATTATTATAATATTTAATTATTAATATTCATGTTTGAATTTTCAATTGTAAAAATTCAATTATAAAAATGCAAATGTGAAGATTCATTTGTGAATATTCGATTACAAATATTCAATTGCAAAAATTCAATTGTAAAAATTCAATTATAAACTTTCAATTATAAATATTCATTTGTTAAGATGCAATTGTAAATATTTAATTACAAATATTCAATTTTTTAATTTTGAATATTGAAATTCATGGCATTCAATAATACATATTCAATTACGAATATTTTATTGTTAATATTCAATTATGGATATTCAATAAAAAATATCGAACTATGAATATTTTATAGTTAATAATTAATTATGCAGTTGTAAATATTCAATTATGAATGTTTAATTAAAAATATTAATTTGTTAATATTTATTTATTATTTAATTACAATTACAATTACAATTTTTGAATATTAAATTGTAAAAATTCGATTCTAAAAATGCAAATGTGAAGATTTAATTAATAATAGTCGATTGTGAATTATAAATGTGTAAATAAATAATTAAATAAAAATCACAAAAATTATTATTTTAATTGTCAATTCTGCCGTAAATGTATAAATAAGTAAAAAATCAGAAAAAGTGTCAGTTTAATTGCAAATTCCACTGTAAATGTATTTATAAAAATTTTTAAAAAAAAAAATTAAAAAAAATTTTTTTTTTTAAATTTTTTTTTAAAAAAATAATTTTATTTGTAAATTTTACTATAAATGTACAAATAAATAAACAGTAGAAAAAATTGTCACTCCAATTGTAAATTTTACTGAAAATTTATAAATAAATACCTAAATTAAAAAAAGTGTCACCGTTGTGTTGCCTAATTTGTAAAAAAAACCATTGTCTGATATAGAAAATTAATTATTTCTAGAAATGAAAAAAATTTTCGTTTCCTAACAATTGTTATCTTAAAAATAGATTCAAAAATATGTTTTCGAAGAATAAAATTTCTTTTTCTACAATAATTCGATTCGCTTCGTAGTTTTATAAATTTATATTTCTGTTTTTTTCTCTTATATCTTACTATCTTTAATTTTAATATTAATTAGTAATAAGATTATTTTCAGATAGTATACTTTCGAAATTTTCCCAAATGTAAAAAATTGCAAAAACATTAACTTATACAAAATTCAATATTATGTGAATGACAACTTTTAATTATAAATATTAATTTAAAAAAATAAGAACTTTCTTGTATTTATTTTGCGAGAATCCTCAAAGGAATTGTTTTTAAATATTCTCTTTTAATGAGAGGAAAAAATTAATAAGTCAACAACATAAAATTGATCTTTCATTTTATAAATACTGTTCTTTATATATACTAAGAAGGAACAAGTTTCTTTACAGATAATAAAATTTTCTATAGAAAAAGAAAATTAAAAAAGTATAATATTAAAAATAATAATTATTATTAATCACTGTAGGCTATTATTTTTGCAAATAATACAGTAAAATTTTCCTTATAACTCTGCAAAAAATGTAATTTATTTAAATATTCCCATTTTATTCAAAGAAAACTATATTTTTTTTCATTTCAATCAAAAAAATTACTTGTTCCTTTCAATTAAAAAAATTTTTAATCAAGAAAGAATTTTTTTTTTCTTTTAATTTTTACTGTAATAATTTCTTTATACAAAAAATACCAATTAAAATGTCCAGTTAATCTTAAATGCGAGATTAAATAATAATCTTTTTCTAGTCTCTTACGTAAAACGTCCTCTTTAAACTTTTTAATCTCTTCACTTCATGCCCATCGTCTCTCTTTTCTTTTTCTCTCTCATTCTCTTTCTCTTTCTCTTTAAACAGGATTTTAAGTCTTTCAAATTTTGATCCAATTTAAATGTTCAAAAAAAAAAAGATAAAAAAAATACAATTTAATAAGAAATACAATTTATTTTTTTAATAAAATTATTCTATTTTCATTTTTCTTTTTCTTCTTCTTCTTCCTCTTTAAAATTTCAAAGCTGACATTGTTAATCTAGATTTTAATCATAAAAGCAATTTTTTCATCTTTCACGAGAGTTTATTACAAACATCCTCTAAATTATTTACAACAATTTACAAAGTTTTTCAAATTTGTTGAAGAAAATTAAAGAATTTAAATTTAATCCCTATCACATTTTATTTATTAAATAATTTTTTAATTTTATTATATAATTCATTTTTATTTTTTAATTTTTTATTCATTATTATTATTTCTATCATTATTTTCATTACTGTTTTCATTATTGATTAGTATTATTTTTTTAATTATTAATTTTACTATTATTTTAACTTATTTGCTATTATTTATAATTAAATTTAATTATGCAATTTCAATTACTTTTAAAAACTTGTAATTCGATTAAAAAATTGTTTTTTAAATAATTAATGTAATCGAAGTACACTTCAAGTTATATTCGAATCGCAAAACAATTTACGTAAAGTTGGACGCAAGTTTGATGTGCAAAGTTTAGGAAATTTGAACCCTAAAAGTTAATATTTAATTAGCAAACCCCTGAAAATTATATTTTGTCATATGATACTTATATCAGTTTCCTGGGTATATATTTACCATAATCAATAATTTATTTAAATACTTAATTAGTACTATAAAAATTTAAAAACTCACATAAAAAAAAGTATTTATCATAATTATTTTTCCCCGACATTTCTAATTTGCTTATTACAGATAATTATATCTTATTAAATTTCTGAAAGCAAAGTTTCTATCCCAAACTTTTCACACGAATAATTTTCCAACTCGTATATATATTATTATTATAAAATTGTGTTTCACTGCAAAACAAATACATATCAAAATTAATTAAAATTAAAGAGGCAAAAATAATCATTATATCCAGTAAAATAAAAATTAATTTCTTTAAAAAATAGTAAAATTTTTTCTTTTTCTTTTTTATTTTTCCAAGGGTTATATTTTGAGAAAAACATTTCATCATTTTACGTTATCAGAATTAAGTGCCACATTAAGTACCTTATAGTATGTTCGTAAATTATCAAAGTTTCAGAGTTCCCATCCACACCACAATAATTTATTCTGTACTGTGATTACGAAGAAATTTTAATAATTTATCAATTACTCCATAGTCTCATGATTTCTCTCTCTCAGGCTTAACTCCGTTTTGCTATTACAATAATCCGCTCAATGTCTTACATTATTAAAACATCTTTTAAACCTTCATTGTTTATTTAACTGTTTCCTTGTAACTTCATCTTGGACCATTAATAATGCTTTATTATATATCATTTTCGCAAAATTTACTATATTTTACGAAGTCGTTAAGATACGATATAAATTTTAACCTTTAATGTGCACAACTATGCACTTTTTTATGTCAATAGATAAAAACTTTTAACTATATAATATTTAATTTATAAGAAAAAAAATTTTTTTTTTTATTAATTATAATAGAAATTATAATTATAATAATATTAGAGAATAAATTATCAGGGTGTCTACTATTTTCGTTCAACCGAACCAAAACATAAATAAATCTACAAATGGCTTCAAAAATTTTTTATTAGAGTTTTTATGAATAATTAAATTTTTTTGACGAGTTTCTTTAAATTTTTTGAAAATAATTCTCTTTTTAATAATTTTAATGAAAAATTTGGTAAATAATTGAATTAAACAAAGAATTTTTTTAATTTTTTAAAATAATCTTGTCTGTTCATAATTATAATTGGAAATTTGATTAATTTAATTTTATTAAAATGATACTAATTGAATTTTTGCAAAGAATTTTACTATTAAAAGTAATTTAATTCTTCCAAAGAATTTTATTATTTATGAAAATAAATAAATGTTTGCGTAGAATTTTATTAATAATTTTGAAAGTAATTGAATTGTGGAGAACAATTTAATTATTTATAAAGGTAATTGAAATTTTGAGGAATATTTAAAAAAGTTTTTAAACATAATTGAATTTCTGAGAAGAATTTTATTACTTTTGAAAATAATTGAATTGTTTTTTAGAATTTTATGGAAATTTATGAAAATAATTGAATTATTGTGAAGAATTTGTTTTTAAAAATAATATTCAAAAGAATTTA